TTCTATACACATTTCTTCCATATTACATTTTCTTTCATCGAATTCTCCTTGTGTTTTCCAACTGATATTTGCTTTCTTTTTTTGATGATTATTCTTTTTTTTTTGTCAGATTTTCTCAGTCATTTTATTTCTGTTGTTAAACGTTATTTTTGCCTTTTCTTTCTTTCCCTCTGTTCCTCTTTCTTTGTTCCATTATCTTTCTTTCTTTTACCTTTCGTCATACCATTACGTTTTGCCTATTTTTTTAAACAAAAAAATTCATTCATTTTATTTTTCATTCCAACGTCCTTTCTGAAATATATTTACCTTAGTAAAGAATATAAGAAAAGTCATTTTTAAAAGTCCTTATTTGGAAATTATTTCATTCTTTATGTCTATTCTTTTTTCGAATTTTCCCCGAATTTCCTTCAGTATTATTTACCTCGTGTCTTGAAAATTTTCTTTACTTTTCGTAGATGTTAATAATATAATTAATTTCGATCATTTCTCTCCCCTCATATTTAGAATATATATATTTTTTATTCCGTATTTCTTATAAATTATATTATAAATCACTTCATTTCGTTAGTCAATTTTTTTTCTCGTTTCTGTAATCATGCAACTAAGGTTTATTATTTTGTTTTTCGTTTAAACCTTGGGAATTATTTACATAATTCTGTCTTTCTTCTTTCAAATTGTAATAATTTATTTATTTAATATTTAACTCTCATCCTTTCTGAAGTTAAAATCGTTCAAGTTTGATGGAGAAAATATACAACTATTTATTCATGTCTCTTTTGGTATGGCCTGCAAATAACAAAAATAACTTTACTCATTGCAAGCCAATTCAAAATAATAAATATCATGACTGTCAACTCTAAATAAAAATTGTATCTTTCAAAACATTTTTGACTGAATTATGAATTTGCGAAACATTGAAAACACACGAACCGCTTCTGTAATGATAATCTTCCATTGATCTCATAGTGTTAGCATTTAGATTTAGACCGTAATTAATGAATTCTAGTAAAAAGCAAATTTTGATCTTTAAAAATAATTTTGAATTTAAAAGGATTACCTTTATTCGAATCCTAAAATATTATACAGGTTTGTGTAAACAATTAAAATTCCCCATATCAAGTTCAATATCTGATGTATAGTTACTCTAATCAGATTTTAAACTTCCAGTTGGTCGATCGACTCCGGAGCTTCGGCTTTAGTGCATTCGATTCGCAATAGATCTTCCGTTTCTAGTCTGATGTCCAAGCTTATCGTCGTCCCCTCTTATATTCATTTAAAATTCTTCCTTGTCATTTTTTTTATCTACCGACATGCGACCATTATTTGACGGAGACCCAAGTTTCATTGGACTATTCTTCCGAAAACACTGACTTAAAGGTTACAAGTTTTGTATAGATTCATAAGAAAATAACACTTCATTCAAACACGGACATCATTGAGGCAATGGCATATCCAACATTTCTCAAAGTTATTCGGACATTTCTGTTGGTTCCATAACATTTCAAACGATTCATTCTACAGCCTTCTTCAAATCTACGATCCATAAGTAAAGAAATGTTCTTCATATTCAGACAAGAAGCTCACTGCCGCCTTTGAAGATGTGTTTGCTCCAAACTAAGATTCAGTAACAAAATATATCAAGCTAACTCGTCGCTTTTTAATGTTTATTGTAATGGTCTCGATAATATTGGCGGACCAAGAATTTGGCGTGAGAGGTGGTCCGCTCCGGGCGGAAAGTTGTAGTGGGTGGCAAGTTATTTGGTGGTGGAGGCGGCATTGAGACTTACGTGTAATGAAGTAGCAATGAAAATTAGTTTTACTATTCTTTCTCTCATTTCACATTTTTATATGTCTACTACCCGTTTGTTCCGTGTTAAACGCATGTTAAAGAATCTATATGAACATTACGAGCTCACACGCACTTAAACACACACACACAAACGCATGCATAAAGGCATTCACACGCACACGCGCGCAGTTACACAAACACATAGTCACACTTACACAGACACACACGCACTTACACAAAGACTCATTTTTTACAAATTAAACTAAAAGTGATGAAAAATTATTACCAGTCGAAAAAGAAAAACGATATTTGCTTATCTGAACATTACGCATACACTTGCGCACAAACACTCACACGCACACACATATTCTCTCTCATTCTCGCGTACACAATAACACACATACTTTCACAAATTAAACTAAAAATAATGAAAGATTTTTATCTAAAAAACAATGTTTGCTTATTTTCTGAAGTGTGTGTGTTTGTATATTTTGTGTGTATGAGTGCATGTGTGGGTATGAGAGAATGAGACAGAGAGTGTTCGCGTGTGCGTGCATGTCTGCGCGCTACTACTGCTGTCTAAATCTAGTAAACCTGTGTAAATCGATGTTGCCGTATCTATCTATCTATCTATCTATCTATCTATCTATCTATCTATCTACCAATTCTTTAAATTATTACATTTACTTTTTCTCTTGTTTTCATTCCTGATCATTTCAAATATAATTCTTGCAACTTATTCATGACTAACTTTATAGTAATTCCAATAATAAATGTTACCATATAAATATGAATGAAGATTCGCTAATTTTTCTTAACAATATATCAGAATTTTCATCATTCAAATTCTGCATTAGCTTTTTGAGACTAAAAGCGAAAAAAAAAGAAACCGTTACTTAAAATTAATATTTAGCCAGTAAAATTAATTTATGATTTTCAGGTGGAAGATACAATTCATAAAAAAGAATAATAATATTTTAATTATGCTAAATACTGAACGTAATCCTCTATAAACTCTAATATAGGAAACATTATTTTTAGTAGAAAGAAGAATCAAACTTCAAGTGCTAATAAAATCAGTTTTTTTTTACATTATTATCATTATTATTATTATTATTATTATTATTATTATTATTATTATTATTATTATCTTCTAAATTAGCAACATATAATTTATTTGAAATATATTTCACTTTATTTTTATTTTTTCCTCCCAACTTTTACTGTTGCCATAGTCTTTAGTAGCATTATTAATATTCTTTAATATTAGCTTTGTTTAATTTACTATATACATACTAAAATATTATGAGAGTTAATAATGTTAACAAAATTATTAGTGTTTCATAAATTACTTATACATACTTATTTTGCCGATAGTATTTATTTTAACGCCATATACTGATTGTTAATGTTATTATTATTATTGTTAATGTCATTATTATTATTTTTAACATTATTATTACTGGTAATGTTATCATTATTATTGTTAATGTTATTATTATTTTTAACGTTATTATTATTACTGTTAATATTATTATTATTATTGGTAATGTTATTATTATTGGTAATGTTATTATTATTGGTAATGTTATTATTATTATTTTTAACGTTATTACTATTACTGTTAATATTATTATTATTATTGGTAATGTTATTATTATTGGTAATGTTATTATTATTTCTAACGTTATTATTATTACTGTGTAGTATTATTATTATTATTGTTGATGTCATTATTTTTTTTAACGTTATTATTATTATTATTATTACTGTTAATGTTATTATTATTGTTAATGTTATTATTATTATTATTGTAACGTTATTAGTATTACTGTTAATATTATAATTATTATTATTAATGTTATTATTATTATTGTTAATGTTATTATTATTACTGTTGTTGCTATTATTATTTTTGATTTTATTGATTTTGTTGTAGACATTGTCATTTTACTGAAGAAATTACAACATTTTATGAGAAACAAGTGATAGCATGTCTTCTCAATACTTAACCACACTTCTCAGTATTTTAGCTGATATTAGCAATAGTTGCGATTTCTTGTTGTTGTTGTGGTTCTTCTTCTTCTTCTTCTTCTTCTTCTTCTTCTTATTATTATTATTATTATTATTATTATTATTTGTGAATACAATTTTTTGTATTTACTTAAAGGTGGTCTACCAGGAATTCCTTCAATGTTTTTTTCCAATCGATCCGAGGGCTCCAACTATAACTGAAATTATTGATGTCCTCATGTGCAACAATTTTTAGATTTCCACTTCAAGGTACTTGTATTTTGATAGTTTCCTGAACATCTTCAACGATATATTGCAATCACTAGGGACTTTATATCAATAAGAAAATATATTTTGTTTTTGTGGTCTTTGATCAAGATGTCTGGGGGATTACCTGTTATTATTATTATTATTATTATTATTATTATTATTATTATAGATATATAATAAATTTTAGATATTAGAAGTTAGCGAATTAGTAATTACATTGAATGTGCCATTTATTATATAGAGAGGTAAAGGCCATAGATGTGATAGAGAAATAAAGATATTGAGAGACTCAAACTAGAAAGCTGTCATTATTATTATTATTGTTGTTTTTGGTAGTTTTGGTGATAGATTTTTTTTTCGTTTTCTTTCTTGCTGTTTCCTGTTTTCCTGATTTGTTGTTTGATACATTACTTTAAGAAATCTTTAACCTGAGACATGAAACCAAAAATGATTTTTCATAGAAAGTTATTGAGCAGCCATTCTATATCGACGTCGAGTTTTTCATTTCTCTTTTCTTTTTCTTTGATATTTACTTAATAATTTGTGTTTTCTTCCCTTTGTTGACTCATACTAGATTGAGTCATTTAATTTGGATTGAGTGATCATTGAATCTCAAAATCTCTGAATTCTTCAGATAAAGCAAAGATTCTAGTCTGTATTTCAATCTGCCATTCTATACATTGTTACAATGCTTACAGAGATCCTAGATGATCGCGTTTTACACACATATTGAGTTGTTATTTCTGCGATTATCTGGTTGTTTGACTCGTCTTTTCTTTCCCCGCATTTTCTGTTTGTTTTTGTTATTAAGATTCACCCTGTGCAAGGCCCGGGGTCCACATGATGTAGATGGTTACATCAAAGGGCAGTTTATATGGATGTGAGGGGAAGATACCTGTTAACTCTAAACTTTTGAACAGGTTAATGTTGTAGTGATCGGGGAAACATCCTCTTGAGAGTCTGTTCCACAGGACGGTGATTTGCGGGATGAAGATGTTTGAGTTAAACTTACTTTTCGCCAATGGAATACGGAGAGAATGTGGGTGGCTTGCTTTTTAGTTGATTGGCGTTTCGACCTGGAAGAACCAAGGAATTACGTTCGTCCGATCACATTCGATGGAAGTAGCGATAGAGCAGTGAGAGACTCCCGCATCTCGACTGTAAGAGGGAGGTTGAACTGTGGAAAATAATTCACCACCCACAAGGACTCGGAGGCACTTTTGAACTGTGTCAAGACTAGAAAGTCAGGACTGGGCAGCTCTTGCACAAATATGGAGAGAAGACTCTATTTTCGGCCTTATTTGGCTCTTATAAAGGTAGAGACAGATCTTACTATGTGTTATCTATTTTCAATTTCATATATTAGTAATTAGTCATAAGTAATGTCCGTGTTCTATTGAGGTGTCGATTGTACCATCTTAGCTATTATATCATAACAGCTAATGAATAATCGGTTACATTCAACAATGTTCATCATAAAAGGAAGTTAACAGATTAGAATAAATTTCCACAAAACGACCTCGAATAATGTGCCTATTGGCAGAAAGGTAATGTTGTGAGCGCAGTACGATCATCTGGATATTTTTCATTTGTATTCTTAAAGCGTAATGCAAATTTATAGGTTCATCAGCTGCAACGCGTCTATAAATGTTTGGTCGAAATTCCCGATAGCAAAGATGATCTTCCTGACAAGAAATGCCGCATACATTAAAGATAAAACAGAAAAAAAAATATTTCGGTACTCATTTTGTCTGTTTTTCTCCAGCCGCTATATTCACCTGAACATATACAAAAGATTATGAACTTTTTTGAACGCTGAAATACACTTTCATGAGGTAAACCTTACCTAAAGAAAACCAGATTCAAGATTCGTAAAATCTTTTTTACATCAAACCTGCTGAATTTAACTCAAAATTTATCCTGGCGTATTGCAAAAAGTGGCGAATATATAATTGAATGTAACTGCAATTTATTTTTTGAAGGATAAGGTTGATCAAAATAAATGTAAATTATTACATAACTTAACCTGATAGTTTTTTCTTTTTTTTATCTTATGGCCGCTTTTGAGATCAAATTACCTTTTCTCTTTAGGTTAAAAATCTGTAGCCGTGTCCTTGTCATTTTATTTACTATTTCTCCTATTTGTCTTCTTACATATTCGTATAATTGTTTTTCCTCCAAATTTATGATTATGTTTTGTTTGCTGAATTTCTATTCCTATGTCTGTATTTTATTATTTGGTGTCAAATTCCCTTATTCATAATTCTGTACCTGTGCGATTTGATTAAACTGCTTTCTCAATGCTGACACCATAACGCCAGATTTTATGATGTAAGTCAGTTTTTTTTTTTTCACGATAAAATTAATTTTCGTAATTTTTTTGTATATAAAGATATTCATGTGCGTAATATATTGTGTGATATTCAACCATATTAGAAAATATTGGTAATAACTTGTTTTGTTTTTGCCATTTTTATGTGTTTAAATAAATCCAAAAGAGATAGGCTATAAAAAACTGTATCATACTTCTATATATACATATATGCTATATACGTAAATAAATTATTAATTTATTATTTTATATGTTCATGTAGATTCCTTAATATTTTAAAATATTCATATTTTTCAGTTATTGATTTTACCCTTTCAATTTAAATTTTACTATAATGTGAAACAGTTTTATTGCTATTCAATATATTCTTATTAAATATTATTTTCTATTCTCCTATTTCTTTCTATTAATGTTTCACTATTTTCTATTGGATTATTATTTGATAAAAGAAGAACTGTTAACAATGCCATTAATTTTGTCTACAGAAAGATCTTTTTTATCAAAGTGAGAAGTGGTTGCCATTACAGAATATCTTTCGTGAATAATCTTAAGCATCAAACTTCTACAGGAAATCCTTCGTATTTATCTTGACAACATCACAGATTGATAAGGGATCTGTAATTGTATTGCCTATAAAAGTAGCCTCATATATTACGCTACACCCTGATGTCTTTTACGTCATTTTTGTTGATTATTTCAATAAAAGACCCGAAGTCAATAATCTAGCTAACATATTAAATCTACGTTCATCGTTAAAATACAGTTGAGAAATCAGTTACCGTGTATTCCTTTGCCAAACGTAAACATTTCTATTTGTAATATTTACTTAAAAGTGATGGGCTGCTTACTTTTCGTCAGTAATGTTCTTAAAATTCTGCACTTTTCTCTTTGTACACATTAGCGACCCCAGCTACTTCGGTGTTTTAATTTTGTTGTTATACCTTTCTTAAAATCACTTTTATTTATTCTTATCTCCCCTATGTTTTAAATCCTTCTCGCTATTTCCAATCACTTTAATATCTTTCTTTTTGGTTATGTTTCTTACGAATGATGACAATCTTTATATATCTGAATATATATAAATGAATATCAATAA